TTATTTCTGTGACACTATGTAAAGAAAAGCATGGTAGAGGGGGAAACCGCGGGGTAATTAATTATACAAATGATTATTTTACTGTACATATTTTGATTAACAGTTTTCCGTTCGGTGATGGAACGTCAAAATGCCGGAGAAAAAGTCTTCAAAAATTGTGATTGAATAGGTAGAAGGAGATTTTCTTTCCATTTGTGAAATATTTCGCTAGCAATTATTACCATTTGAAAATTCTTGATCTAGAAATTATCCACGGCCCATGTTTTTGCAAAATTTACGGAATTTTTAAGTTTTTAGGTTTCGCAACCAAGTGTTAAACTATTTACAATACTATTCAAATAAGTAAATATACTCGTATGTATGGTACTTTTTCCATTAAAAAAAAGGAATAAGTTTTTTTCTATCCAACTATTTGAACCTCGATTTGAACATTATTTTCATGTCGAATAATAACGAACCATTGTATTTTACTTCAATAATGATCGGACCATTCTGTTCATAGAAATATACCGGGTGGGGCATTTATCTCGAGACAAAATAATATTTTGGTTGGACTCGACTATTTCGAAGAAAGTTTTAGACAAGTATTGTAGGGCCATTGAAATTTACATTCTATGATTTTTGGTCTAAACCGGAAGTGGTGATTTTAGTCCGGAAGTTGTTCCGGAAAAAATGTCCATTAAAAAAAACAAGAATCTTGAGACAACGGAGTACCTTGTTGGGATCACCTTTTTTAAAAAATATTTCATATAAAGTAGGGTGAAAGGGAGCTATCTTGACATGACCTTGAAAATGACCTTGACTTCAAGGTCGTTTGAAGATCAAATACACACTTCAGTCTTCATATGGGTTTAAAATAATATTTTTTTTTTTTTCGATTTTCAATCGAAGGTCCTTGGTAAAAAATGGGTGTTTCCATTTTAAAAAATCAACTTCCAGTCTAAAAACACCTCTTCCGGTCTAGACCGGAAGTCATAATATGGACCTTTACAATTTTTGTCTGAAACTTTTTTGGAAATAGTCGAGTCCAACCGAGATATTATTTTGTCTCAAGATAAATTTAACACCCGGTATATTACAGTGAATAATCATTACCCGAATTGGCTTTCTCTATACAGAATAAATTCGGTAAAAGAAAATATATAAATTGCAGCGTCAATGGAAAAATTCTTTAGATAATCAAAAATTTTATAGCATTTGAAAACTAACAAACTATACTCCGCGGTCGGAATTATAGAGAGTGATTCAGACATAATATAAAAACACTATTACCATAATGCGTATAAAATGTAAAATGATTTTTATACGGTTCAATATTATTTATCTTTGTATCGCTCGCTACGCACCTCGACAGAATCTATAATCGTCTATAGACTGAGTTACAGAGTTACACTGAACGTTGATCTATATTCTATCTCTGTCTTTTGCACTTGGTAGGGAATAGGGAAATTCTTTTTTAGTGGGTGTAAACGGACTTGATGTATCCGTTCTGAGAAACGTCATAGCATAAGCGTAGACGAGGGGGTCTAATTCCATGGCTATAATAAACTTATAAATTAAAAAAACACAACTGGGATGTTTTAAAATGCTGTAATAATTAAAATGGATCAAAGTGCCGGTTATAGCAAACCGTAAAAAAATATTAGATGTTATGTTTTATTATCTTTTTCAATATTTTCTATATTTTGTTGCCTTTTACGCAGACACGCCAATGGATTTTCGTTCCCGGCACGCTTCATCCCCCTTACTAGTCACAAAAGCTAGCGATTAGTCACTCTCTATAATTTCCACCGCGGAGTATAGCTATTAAAAAATACTATCAAAACTAATTTTTAGAGTTGAATAGTATTAAAGATAATCTTTTGGATCTTAGTATCCAATAGGCACCGTTCTAAATCTATATCAAAATTTGTTAAATTAGACGATAAAATTGCTTGTTCGGACCATGAATTTTATAAAATATTTTCTAAATACTTCAGGGGTAAGTCACACTGACTCAAATATAACTATCATATTAAATACAAGCAGATAAAAATTTTGGATGTTAATAAAGGTGCAGGTTTTGATGGATTACTCTCCAATTTTTTAAATACTGTGTGGAATCCATAATATTATCCATTATACATTATTATACATCAAATCATTATCTAAGGAGTCTTAAAATCACATTGAAAGTAGTATCGAATTATTTCAGTTTTTTTCAAATAGAGCAGTAGAAGTATGCTCCTGGTAAATTGTTTAACTTAGCAAGCGAACCAGATGAATTCTTTAAAGACCAATCCTTGATGACGAACTTATTCCATTAGATCAGAATATAGTAAAATATAACGTAAACAAGCTGTGGATATCGATTTTTCGAAAGCATTTGATAAAGTTCATCCCAGCAGTATATTTGTTTAGTTCGAAAATATTGGTATTATGCCAATGGTAGTAAATATTCGTTTTATGCCGATAGTACATATAGAGTCCCCCAAGGTTGGCATCTCGGACCACTTCTTATGTCTTTCTGTTTACTTGACTTCAAAGACAGTTTTTCACAACCTAAATTCTCAGTACACTTACTATTCGTTCTGTGATTAACATCTCGACTTCTTGCATGTAATTCGCCCTCCATTAGGTAAGTATTCTCGCGAGAGAAAAGGAAACAAACGATTATAATATAAACATGGTTTATTATTACTTACAGTATTATTTAATTTGTCAGTTCCTTTATGACATGCACCAGTTCGGCATAATATATGCGATGCTTTATATTTCACCCAATTCCTGCACTATTGTAGTCCAATTAGCACTGGAAAGTCCTTTTCACATGTTTAGCGTGATTACATTTACTTCACGATGTACCCTAATTTTAAATTTTCGAATGGCCGAATGAGTTTTGATGACGTTATCCTAAATGTAACTGGGTTACTTAAAAAAATGCCCGAGAACATAAATACATATCAACTTTTCGATCACACATTCTTGTGTGTTGTTTTATCATTTTTTTAAATCACCCAAATATGATTATCATATATCACGACAATTATAAGCTGCTTATCATATACAATAATAAAAATAATCTTTTCTAGACATGGAGCCATACACTCATCATCTGCATCACATTTAAAGCCCTTTTGAAATTCCGCCTTAAATTTCAAAGTGAGCTCTTACTTATATAATAGTTCTGGTAATTTTAAAATACACTTAGTTATTTACAGTAATACTGTGTATATAGAATAAGTAGAAATATTTCAAAAGCTTCTATTTGCTATATATGTATTTACAAGTAAAATTAGCATAGGTACGTATATATGGCAGGTTTACAATCAAGGGGTGTTTAGTAATTTATTTTCGTGGTACCAAACTGTTTGAATGCCAGAATTAACGCAATTTCAATTACAGAATTAAGGAAACCATTTCTTTAATAAAACAATTGTTTTGCTTCGGTATATAGGGTGTCCCAATAAAATCTCCCTACGTCATTTTCTCGTTGTTCAAAAATCAAAAAATTTAGAAGTCAAATTACTTACATGTGCACTAGACTAGGATCGAACCTACCAACCACTTGTACAAAACTAAAATATTACTTTCCGTTCCAGAGAAAATGGCGATAGGATTTTTATTGAGACACCCCGTATACTAAGTAGTACAGGGTGGGCCACCAGTAACGCCTCGGTGGTTCGGGACCAAACGGCAAATGTTATATAAACCTGTTCAGGTGAGTACGTGTAGGTTTATTGCGGCTACATTTTAAAAATATTTTGAAATATACGGGGTGTCCAGGAAAGGCGTACCATATCAAAGTTATGTATATTTCAAAATATTTTTAAAATGTACCCGTAATCAACCCACCACCAAAGCGTTACTGGTGGCCCATCCTGTATATGTTTTTTTAACAGAATATAACTTATAGCAGTTGAGTGTGCTGCTCTATTTCAGATTCAAGATTGACTGTACCACGCAAATTACAAATTATGGCTTACATAAAAAGCAGTAGGCTATTTGGACCCTTTTACGAAAAAAAATTAAGTGTAGAATTTGTGTTAAAACACCGTTGAAATATTTTCAAATGAAAATTCTTAGGTTCCTGTCATCTATTATTTAAGCGTACGTTTCCCAAAATAAAAAATCGTATGCACAACATTCTGATTACATAGAAATACATATGTGACGGTGTTTTAACAGCTACATTTCCTAAAAGTTCAACAGTAAAACAACAATAATATATCTGTTAAATATCGTAACTGTGGATAATGAATTCAGCAGTACATTTAACATTTACATTGCTTTCAATAATCATATGGCACTAAGTTATATTAACACAGAATTTTGAAGAGTCTACTCGGTAATAAACGGCGTTAGAAATGTGAAGTGTAGTTTGAAAAGAAACTTTCAAAGTTCGAAACAGTTTTTTAAAACTAATTCAGTTTAGTTTGTATAAAAATAAAGTGAGGCTATGCACTTCTACTTTTGCAGTGTTTCCTCAGACATTCGTTTATCAAATGGAAATTTATTTAATGCACTGCACAACATGTACTCACCAAAAATCGCCTTCAGGAGCATTAGAAACCGAAAAGATATTTCTTTTAGTTTTCGAGCTAATCAACTGAGGAATTTCACATGGAAAAGTTCCGTTTCTTGGTATGTACTGTTGAATACACATATACATATATCTAATTTCTTTCTAGTAGAAAATAGGGGTAGTGCATCATTTTAATAAAAATCCCATTTGCTGCGAATGTCTGGCTCACAATATTGAGATAATACGTAAGTAATAAGTATAAAAATGTCTCATTCTCATAAAAATCGTGAAAGAAACGTTTTGTATTGCAAATTTTGTTATGAATACCAAAAAATTTCGTGTGTCAATGAGTACCTTATACTAATAATTCATAAAAAATTATGTGTAAAGGATTAAGACTAATTATGAAAATATAACAAATTTTATGTTACATTTATATAGGTAGATAAAAAGTGCACACTTATAGCAGTTAGGCATAACAACATTATTAAGTAGATTTATTAACCTTGTTATGCGTTTTAAAAATAATATTTGGTGTGTATCCTATCAGTGAATCTATATTAATATTTATGTAAGGAAAATATACTTTTTAAATGGTAACTAAGGGCACATAGAGTTTAGGAAAGGTTCTTCAGAAAGCTGTAAAGTATGCAGATGGGGAGTGTTATGCTAGACACCGGCACTGATGCTTTGCTGTATGTTCTGATGCCTAGAATATCTTGAACGTCATGCTCTGTAAAAAACAGATTGATTAATATTTACCCATATCCATACAGATTAGAAATGTACATGAGCGTCATTTGTAATGTCAAATGAGGCTGAAAATTCATTTAAGAAGTTTGTTTTGAGAATTTCCAGAATCATTTCTTTAAAAAAGATGATTAAAACCAACGTAAAACTGAAAGTAATAAATACAAACGCATTGTTTGCGCGTTAAAAAAATTGCGCAATAAAAATATATTGATATCATTATGTTACAGAGTCGACCAATTTTTAACGAACAAATAGGCATTTGTCTCGGTATTTGTTCAAATGAATCGAGTCGAATTTTCGAGAAAAATTAAAACATTTAAGTTTTAATACGCAAAATGTGGTTGTAATGCATAATTGCCATAAGCATGTAACACTACAACCTATCACAGATTTATTGTCTCTTTCACATTTAAAAATATCTTCTTTTACCTTTGAAGCCGTTTGTATGAACAAATAAAGACGTTGAAATGGTATTTTATGTGCGCAATACTTGAATAAAATAGCATTCAACTTGAAAAAATTGCGTGCCAACTCAAACCAACGTCTTAGATATGATACACTGGCTATATTTTCCTAAAAAAATTGTGGCTTGTTATGAAAATAAAATATTTGTTTCTCTTATAGAATTACGAATTTTATTTTGAACGATTATAGTTTTTTGATCTGTTTGCAAATCTTTCATTTTCTTGGCACAAACCAGCAACTTACAGAGGAGTAGATTTTTTTAAATTATTGGGAAAATATATACACAATTCGCTTAAACATTTCTGTATTTTGATGAATATGTTGATTACCTCCTCTTTTTAAACTTTAACACCCTGTATATTCAAAGAATTGTATATCTGTAGGTGCAGATGTTTCTAAAAGATATTCTTTTTGGATGAGGAAGTCCTTAAGCAGTATATAATGTACAGAAATACTAGCTAAATAGGTTTACTGCTTAGCACTGGCAACATCGCCATATATTAGAATTATGTCATATTTCGCTGATTAAAGATATTCAGTTTTCTAGAGTAGTTTTTTTTGTCTGAAGACACTCACATACCAAAATATTAAGTAATGGTATGGCATATTTAAAATTTAATAATCCCTTAATCCCTAATTACGTATTCCTTTTTCATAAATCTAATTGTTTGATCTCATAATTCAGTGTTCAGTTGGCGGCATACAAACGTTTATTTTGATTTACCGTCATCCACAGCTTATACATATGCTAATTTTGGGCGGCAATAAAAGTTTAGTTTATAGTTTACGACTTGGCAACGTGTTGCTTTTAAGGGAAAGAAAACTCAACCGACACAGAAAAACAAATTTATTTTCGTAGGTACTTAATATTTGTTTCACGAAAAACGATAACGTTGGAATTACTTAATAATAAATAATTATTACACAGTAACATCGCTATCAAATATCATTTAAGGTAGTGCATTTTTATCCACACCAATAAAACTTTACATTTACAAACTCAACACTTTTATGCCAGCTTAAAAGTCGTTTGTTGTACTTAACTACAATTTTCTACTTTTCATTCAAGAATAAGTGAACTATAAATATTTATGTCTTACTTAACAGGAACCCTTCCATTAAAAATGCATTCTATAACAGAAACTATGAACAATACCTGCATCACGTTATATTATGTATCGAATTCAACACCTACACAGCTTTCTGCCATTTCAAGAAGTCGTATAAACTTTGCAGTTGTGAATTTTGCTGAATGGCTTTTAATTAACAATACAGTTGTCTAACTGCATTTTACCAAGTAATTTTGATTCGTAACAGTCTTTCACAAACTTTGACCAAATGTGCTCAACAGCTACGAACTTTAAAGAAATATAGACGAGGAAATATTGTATTAAATACACGATTGTATATGAAAGGCATGTCAGGAATCTGGAAACTTAATTAAATTATTGCCATCTTTAAAGTTATTCAACTAACTTTATTATATAATAAGCATTGATTTAATGTAAAATAACCACGTTCTATGTTCTCTCATAGAGTTTCTGTCATTTTGAATACATTTTTCTGCAATGTATTGTCTTAGTATCTCCCTCTTGTTTGTAACATTAATTTTAAGATATCTCCTGACCATTTTTTCTGTAAGTTGAGGAAATTTATTATTCATGATAAGTAGTTTTAAAGATGTATGTAATTTTAAACAATATGTCACTATGGACCTACTGAAGACCTATTTTTTATAAACAAGGATATTGAAGTTTTTCATGAATTATGTCTCAATCAAATTAAAAGCGATGTCCAAGCGTTTTCTTTCCTTCGTATAATAAAGGGAAACTCAACCCTGGGGCTGTATTTATTATTTATATCACCTAAATTTCGTGGTATGCAAGGTCATTTATCAAAGGTAATTTGATAAGAATTGAAATATAGGAAGANCGAATAAAAGTATCGTATATACTAGTATGTGCTTTTTCTATTAGTAGGTCTCAACACTATGTACCTTTTCAAATTTAATTATAAACTTATAGTTAGATAAGTTATCTAATTATCAGTTTAATTAAATTTGAAAATGTACATAATTTTGAGACTAATCATGAAAGAACAATTCACTTTTTATAAACCATTGATTTATTAATATTAAAATAACCTATTTTCACTGAAAAACTGTTAGTTCACATTAAGCTAAGATATATTTCTAATAATCTTATGTCATCTACATGTTAAAATATGTAGATTAATAATAAAGACGCGAAATGTAATATTACAGTAAAAATAAATTAACATTCAAATGAGATTTATTACAAAACTATTAACTTATTATTAGTTACTTTTCATACTATATATGCGCTAGGCAATATCCAAAACTAGAATTAATTTATGGCAAACGATATTTGTTTAGTCCAAATAAATCCTTTTTTCAGTGTTCGTATAATAAAGGCCCTGGGGCTGTATTTATTATTTATATCACCTAAATTTCGTGGTATGCAAGGTCATTTATCAAAGGTAATTTGATAAGAATTGAAATATAGGAAGAAATGTTACTTCAGAAACATACATAATATTTTTTTCTTAAAACCTAGGATATCAGTTTGTATTTAGTTTTTAAATAACATGTTTTCAGAGCTGTGTAAATATTCTTACTGTTTTTGGTTATCTTTGAGTCTCTCGCATATTTATATCGCCTTCGATTTCTCACTAATCAGTGTCTGTAATATTATTATCACATCCAGTTTAGATAATCGCATTACACGTTCGATATTGGGACGAAAATTCAATCAAACAGCCAAATTTCCCGGAATTAAATTATTCGGACCCATGGCAGCAGAACATTGAATTTATAATTTCCTATCGTCTTACATGCCAATTTTACTGCAGACCATCTCTGATTAGGTGTTTATCGTGAAAACTATCTACGTACCGATTGTCTAAATCTTCAGAATGATCTTGATTTTTTGTTTGTAATTTTTTGTAAAACAATTTGTTTATTAATGTCGATAAATGTTATTTTCGCTCGAAATAACCAACCTTTCTTTTACGAATGATATGATACTCATGTTGATAAACTAATATCTAGCACATTTGAGATATCGAGTTTCATTATGAAACAGTTGAAAATAAAGCAATATTTTCTTAAATCATCCTAGAAGGAGATTCTTTAAGAATGTGATGTAGAATATAGCTTTAAAACAATTACTTGTTCAATAATGCTAAAAGATACTTGCATGCAACATTCTAATCTATAAGAAGTTGGAATTAAAGTTTTGCAAAGTCCGAAAAAGCTATCTGATAAAGTCTTTCGCAAATCTAGATTGAATATTTCCAGCCATAACTGTTACCGTGTTCATTATTTCAGTTAAAAATCCTTTTCCAAGATTTATGAACATCCCCATTTATAATTAATTGAAGAGTCAAAGTTGATTATAAATGAGTTCCCCTTAAAATACCAAGTTACTTATTTTTTCCGTTGATTAATTCCATTCGCACATAAAGAAGCAGTCCTAAGTAAAATGTGAAATAGTAAGTTCTTTCTATAGTGGCTGTGTTGGTCTTTGTCAAGAGTTGTATCAGAACAAAAAAGAATACAAGATACCTATTTTATTGAAAGATTGCAATCTGTGTCAGGTACTCGTTTTTATATTAATATTTAGACATTCGTGTCACGTTAATATACGTTGCTATATTTTCGTGCGTAATTAATTCCTATCCGTTGATGTTTATGGTGCAGACAATTTAATTTGTTGCGTTTTAATAAATACTGCGCACGCCTATGCCCCGCGGCTCAGTTCTGACAGCACTACTAATGATTTATTTTATCTTGTTTACATGGCCAGATTGAATTAGCTTTTATAATAAAACAAAAGTACTGCGAAGTTTTCCGCTCATTTATCTTATCAGTGGCATCGATCCTGTAAATTAAACAAAAAAAAATGTAGAATCGAGAACGCAAAATTGTATAATTACAGCGTTATTGCATAGATAATGGATGGCTTGATTTTGCACTTGACAGTAATTGTCACCGACAGAAATGCAACTCGCTATGGTAATTGCTTTAAAACTGTATTAGAGATAATGACAAGGCGTGATTTATCCATTGCGAGTGGTGAATGCGAGATGGTTGTACACTGTACGTTATAATTTACCAAAGGATTAGTTGTCTTATTTGTGCCATTAGCTTCTAGTTATTACTAGATTGAAGGATTAGATTAATTAATAATTCAAAATTTCTAAGCGGATGATTTTTTAGACTTTTTGGCAGTAACAAATTCGAAATAGTGTTTGCAATACTTTTTTTATACATTTACTTAAAAATATAACAGAGAATGGCTTGTATTTTGGATACAATGAATGAGATTTTCAGTTTTTGAAATACAGTTAGGAAGTAAACATACGGATTGAGTTTCTAAAATACAAAATGGTGTCGAAATTTTGGGGTTGTTAAGGAGTAACACCAATATGTGAGCTACTGGTGGGCATAATTGTATACAAATTTACCTTTACTTAGTTAAATCACTTGATCAAATTTGATTGATTTAATTTTAACATACAGCGATTCGAAAACTAAGCAGTTTAGAGCATGACAGTAGATAGGCTATGTGAGTATGGAACCAAAATCCCATGTATTTTCTTATGGAGGTTCTTTTTGCAAATTTTTGACCAATTTAGTATTCATTATTTATTAGTATGACCAGTATTCCGAACCAATCAGATTATGGCGCGAAATTCAAAATCAGACCGCCTCCTGTCTAAGCTCCAGGACTTTTCCAAAAAATTATATTGAGTAAAGTAGGCGGCCTCACAAACGGCCTTATCTATTGACCAATCTATTGCTTTGTAATTTAGAAAAATATTCTTTGCCGAGAAACATTGACTATCTCGATCGACCAATGACGGATCACCAATAATTTTTCCAAATAATATCGATTAAATTAATTTAATGTTGGATAATGACTCATTATAATTTGACGTAAAATACCGAGGCTAATATGAGACATATTCTTTTTGGAAAATATTTTGCAGTTGTTCGATAAATATATATTGAAGTTTTTTGGCAAAGATTTTTTCCATCAACCCGCTGTAAGAGTCCACGGACTTGGAATTTTTTTTTTCAGCTAAGCCATTGCATAGACCATGTTTATTCAGCTTCAATTTTCTTTGTTTTTAAATTTCGATACCTACGACCATTTTTCATCGAAATGTCGGACTTTTAATGGAAAAGGATCCTTTTGTCTTCAATTATCGACATCTCGGCGACAAATGGTCGTACAGAGAATTGAAAGGCAGTTTCGAAAACTGGAATAAATTTTCTATAACATGTGCCGCAACTTTTCGAAAAAAAAATTTCATCTTTTACACGAATTTTAAAAAATAGGAAAAAGGGGTAATTTATGTTTTTTTAGAAAATTGACGGCTAAATTAGAAATATTCACGCAATGACTAATGTTAAAGCATGACTTTTACAGTTCGATATATCCAGAAGAACCCTGTGAAGTTTCGTTTCTTTCTTTGTTTCAGTCAAATTTTTGAAAAAAAAATAGTCTCACGTTTTTTGAGTTTAAACACTTCGTAATCATGATTAAATTGGAAAAAAAATTGTTTGAGGTTTTCTTACAATTTTACCGCAAATAACGTTTAAATTGATAAAAAAAATTTCGAAAAATTTTCGATGTTTTTTTTTTGTTTTTTTGGAAAACCTTCCTGGCATTAAAACAATATCCGATTCTTTCCAGCACGATTCAGCTTTTCCGTTCTATGTTTCTGTTCATCAACTTTTAAATAAATTAAAATTAAAGTTGGCGACCCAAACCAGATTTCTGCACCGATTAGTACCGTTTTTTGAGGCAAATTTTTAATTAATTTTTGTACAGTCTGTAATCACTTAAGAGAGAGTTTTTCTGAAAGCAAAATTTCTAAAATTTTTCGAAAAAAAATCTTTTTTCATCAATTTAAACGTTATTTGAAGAAAAAATCTGAGAAAATCCCAAAAAAATTTTTTTTCCCATTTTAATCATGATTATGAAGTGTTTAAGCTAAAAAAACGTGACCCTTTAATTTTTTTCAAAAGTTTGACTATTTGAAACATAGAAACGGTTCGTTAGATCAAGATGAAACTTCACAGGGTTCTTCTGGGTGTATCGAACTGTAAAAGTCATGCTTAACATTAGTCATTTGGCGAATATTTCTAATTTAGTCATCAATTTTTTTCCCCGAAAAGTTGCTGCAGCATGTTAAAGGAAATTTATTCCAGTTTTCGAAACTGCCCTTCAATTCTCTGTACGACCATTTATCGCCGAGATATCGTTGATTGGAAACAAAAGGATCTTTTTCCATTAAAAAGCCCGATATTTCGATGAAAAATAGTCGTATCGAAATTTTAAAAAAGAAAATTGAAGCTGAATAAACAAGCTATCTGGTCCATGCAATGGCTCAGCTGAAAAATTTTTTTGTCGCGCTATTTAGAATTGTATGATAACCGCAAATCCTAAAAAATTTCGACTAAAAGATCTAAAAACTAGAATGTTAGAGCTTTAAAATGATAATTCCCGATACGACTATTTTTCAGCTAAACACAGTCTGTCAAAAATCACGGACAAATTTCGGAAATTCTTATGACCCTTTAATTTTTTGCATTAGTTTATTTTAATTTTAAGCTAAAATCATATCCGTGTGATCGTATCTATGAACTGCAATAATCCCCCTGTATTAATAATTATAACTTCAGTGGCTTCAGCTTCACTACGTGCGATTCTGTATCGTATTACGGCCATACGTCGTGCTTTAGCGGTAACAGGACTAATCGACTATTAGGAACTATTAAACCATATATGCACGTTTAAGTCAAACTTTAACTATCCCATGTCAATCCAAAGGGAATTCAGTAATTATGAGTTATCCGTATATGTCGCATGGAAATTGCCATAAACTGATTTCTACAAATTAATGTATATAACTATATGTACACAGAGTGCTTCTTTAATATAACGAAAAACTTTAAGGGGCGATTTTTTACCAAAAGTTAATGGGGACTAGGTCTTCTACATGAACTTATTTCCAAAAACGTCGAAATTTGAAATTCAAAAGATTCTATTTAAAAACTTGACTTGTTGGCACGATAAGTACAAAGAAATTCAACATGTCAAGAAAAATATAATAAAAAATAAAATTTTCTATCTCTTATAGTTTCCACGATTCCGATTTATTTCACTCGTGTATAGGAACTGTAAGAATGTTTAACACCGATAATGACAGTTGCCCAGCAACTAGACATTTAAAAATTGCAAATAGAAGTAAAATCAGTAAAATGTTGGTGTATGGGTTCAAATTATTATTCATTTTAGATACAACTTATATTTTCGAAGGGACATTATTATCGTTGTTATGGTATTACATTATTACTGGGTGTAATTTCTTTTTAGTAAGTATAATTTGACCGTACGCAAAAATGTTCAGTGTTTTCAAAAACAGTGGTATAATGGAATATGTAAAAGAAGTAGTAAAACATTGCCTTACCATTATAAACATGCCTGGGTGATTGGGGTCTCTCAGGGTAGGTCATGTCTGTTACCCAGGTAGTGCAAATGGTATCAGAAGATAAGGTGCAGAAGGAATAGGTGCATGAAACAGAAAAAAAATGTTAGGTGGTATAATTTACGCTACAACAGCGTTACATGATTCACATACATTCTATAATTTCACTAACTGGGTCTTACTGTCTAGGCTATCTGTGAAAGTGCGTGGTTATATCAAACAAATCCACTTGGTAAATATTTATCAGGTTACTGGCAGTTTGTAGCCAACTTTGTTCAATTATTTGTGGATAAATGTTGAATAATAGTATTATGATCTGTGTCAGCAATTCTCAAAAGTATTATTATTATTATTTACTTAAATTTGATGTGTATATTGCAACTGTGAATACGTTGAAATTTAAGATATTAAAAATATATTTCACTGGCTTATTAGGGCAAATCTATCATCGCTATAAATGTACCTACTTGATGTCTGAAGGAGTTTTCCTTATTTCCATAATTTGTTACAAGAATGGTACATTAGATTTTAGAACACTTGAAAATTTATTATAATTAACAAGTCAAATAATTTTTTCTGGAAATATTATAACATTCTGGCCTATTCTTCAATTAAACATTTTTAACGTACTGTAACGTACTGTATGTATAAATTTTATAAAGCCTAAATTTGGAATAAAAAAAAATCCAAACATAGTTTACTACTGTTTCTCGTTCAACTCGAGATACTTCTTGCTTAATATTCCACTCATTTTTAACAAATATTTACCTCCGATCGGGCTGAGACCTCGTATTTCTGAAATTTCTGGGTTCTGTTTACCCTTACAATTTTAATTTAGGTATGTAAGTTTTGAGTCAGTCAGGTATAAATATGGGTCTGTTGAAATAAACTCGACTTGTTCTTCGTTCGTTTTCCCAATTCAGAACAGTTTGGATTAAATTGGTTAGCATAGGTATATTTTATTAAAGATTTCACTCGAAGACTGACATAAAAAAATGTGATGATTGAAAAATTCGTTATAGATTTTAATTTTCATTTCTGAGAGAGGTGTCCTTTTGGGTGGATTTTTATTTATAAAAGTCAATCCTTTGACATCCGTCATATTTCTCAGTCAGTGACAAAGTAAAAATGTTTATTTAAAGTAGATATAATTTTTTCAAGTTCTTAAATGGTTTTTTTTCTTCTAATTGACTATAACAATTTTTCATATCGGTCTATTATGCTCAAAATGTCCACTGACTTCTTGGCAAAAGGCCAAATTATTTCTGTCCTAAACTAAAATTCATTCTTGTCTGTACCTTCGATTATACTTATTTTTCAGCTTAATAACACATTTATTAATAACCCTCGAAATGAATTTCATAACCGTTTTGGCAAAAAATTGTTCACTGAAACCGTCGTTTTTATTGCGATTTATAAATTTATCAACCAATGTTTTAAACTAAAAATCGAACTGTTCCAACATTTTTTACAGAAGTTGCGTGATACTTTTCAATCAATCCAATAAAAATCTTTTAAAGAAAAAATATTCATGGCTAAAAATTTCCCTTAACAGTAACTTATACATTGAATATCCATTTTTGTTTTTAATTGCCCATTTTTTACCAATTATTTTATGTATACACAGTGACCCAAGTTAGAAGTACGCCTTGATCAATTACTTACTTTTCAATTTGTGAAAAAATCCCTTCAAAAGTTTCTTAATGAACAGGTTCTACTTTTTCCTTTAAATCTTTTCAATTGCCTATGTTAAAAATTAAGTTAGTTATTATTTTATGAGTTTGTTGTTTAAGTTATTTTATATAAATTACAAATAAATATGTTTTAAACATTTCTTTATTCAAGAAAATAAAATTCTGTAAAATATATCTTAGAAAATTTGCTATAAACGTATTAGTAAATATGGAATATAATTTATAAATAACTTATATCTACTTCATTTGTATAACGTTGACGTAAAACGTAAAAGCTCTAATTTGCAGTAGGTTGCACGAAAAAAATATGTTAAATATTTATACAATTCCAGCACTGTCAACTATAATTTATATAGAAAACTCGACTGACTACAATTTGTGTCACAAATTACAAACAAATTGTGTTTTAAGTGCTATGTTTAACTCTACTATAGTTTTGTTAAATATTCTCACTTTCTACTTTGCTGTATGATACACATAGTCGTAGGAAATAAAAAATCTGTATGTATTGTAAACATTTACAAATTTTTGTCTTGGGACACAGAAAATATAACATACATAATAATATTTGTTTGTTATTATAATTACTTTGATTAAAGTTGCAGTACCCATACGTATAAGATGAAAATAAGACAATCTAATATGAAACTCAAAACAATATTCGACAAAATTATTGTTATTTGTTTTGCACAATTATTCAGAACTAGGATGAATATCAAGGACAACATTTAACAATTTTGTATAGTCTTTCCGATCTCTATTGAAGAACCAAGAGGTATGCATCAGGTTCGGTCGCTTATTTGAAAAACTTGTTCCCACATTTATTTAGCCATACCCATATAAAGGTCTAGTCGCCCAGTTGAAGAATGAGCGCGCGGGCAAACGCGGCACAAACACAGCCGCATTCGGCGACCGGGTCACAAATTCAGTTGTCGACAAATGGCCTAGCAGTGCAGTGCAGCAATGCGGAACTTGGTGTGATTCAGGTAATTTTAATTTATTATAAGCGCCTTCTATTAATCATTCATATTACAATTATTGCGAAAGGGAGAAATGAGAGGGATATTTTGTTTACTAATATTCTTACAACATGGAATTTTGCAGACCTTTTGAAACGGAACAAAACGAAATTTACCATCAATATAATAAAATTATTTGAGGACATATAATTAAAATATGTTGTTGGTCAAATGAACATTATAATATAAATTTTCATAGAAACTCATTAAATTTTATTGCTAGGCGTTTTTATACATGTGTTCAACTCACTTTGGAAAGACTTATAACAGCTAAAGGTCCAACAAAATTCCTACTGCGGTTTTCAGAACAATTTCCATATACCTACATTTAAATAGAATTTTAGATAATACCAGTATTGTAGTAAAATACGTTTTAGTAAATATTTCACAATATATACTTATCACTTTCCACTACAAATGAAGTAGATATAAATAATAGATATAGTAATTTTTTACGTGTGCGAATTGCTACTGGGGTTTGAGAATTGAATAATTTGTACAGGGCCCTCATGAATGATTACAAGTCATGTGACTAGTAAATTTTTTGGGACAATAACTTTATTTCCTTCACGTTGGCAATTAAATTTCGGTAAAATTAAAAATTATTAAAATAAGATTGCATTAAAACAACATTCCGTTTCACCGGCTTATGTTTGGTCTAATTTTTTACAAGATTTTATTCAACCAATAGACGGTAGCATTATCGTAGCGTAGACGTAACGATTTGTCATTGTTCATTGTAAACGACTCATTAATATTGGTTACGCCAAAATTCAGGAATTTTTAGTTAACAGTGCTAGACGTACAATGTTGGTTGCCTAAGCTCTGGGGTTACGTGACTTGTAATCATTTATGAAGGTACTGTTTAAGCACTATTCGTCATGCCAACAGTAAAAAAAGAGGGGGGGAACATTACGTCAATGATTAGCCCATCGAGCAGGTGTGTTTACGTACCATGCCCAAGTTATACGGCAAATTTATACCGACCTGTATCTGTTGTCTGGAACGTGAACGCTTCGGAAATAGGACTCCAGCCAAATTTGTTCCTGGCTTGAACTTTGGCTTCGTAATTTTGCCCCGCTTCTAATCCTCGAATTACGTAGCTCATAGATTGAACTCCAGGAGATTGAGAAGGCGAAGCGGGCAATATTACATCCCTCCAATCTGTTCGCCTGTCTATGAACTGACGCCCATAACCGTATCCTACGCTGTAGCCAACGGCGGCGTATGTCTTATTTTCCTGAAAAAAATTGTAACGTGATCTTTTCAATTTTGTCGTGGATCTAGTTTATATAACATAAAATAGTAGGTATTGTTGGTATAAGGAAATTAAATGAAAAGTAAAAAAAGGAGTAACCAAATCGCTCACAGCTCTCGGCGATTCTGGTGATATACTCAATTGCATTGAATTTAACTAATCAAATATTGAATTCAGTATCAGAATATTTTACGTAGTTCCTATAACTTCTGTATATAATGTCGCGTGTATCATTGCAATCGTAATATGATTTTCGAAAATTCATAATAAAGAAACAATGTGTCTAAATTACTGCATATGACAATTGAAATAAATTCTATTTATGCATCATAGGCAGCACATACTAAACGTCAGACACAAAGTGCTGATTAAATTATTAATTAGCTCTCTGTAATGGAGCGATTGATTGAAATTGCTTCCTAATTAACACTAATATTATGATTAATTATTTCAACTGCATCAGCAACAATATGCCCGCAAGTTTATTATTTGGTTACATCAAACTATTACGTCCAAATGAAGATCGGCCTTTGGATCCATCAGTATGATATACAATATGCAGATATGTAATGCTACAATGTATGTATGTTTATTATATACCGATTTATGGTAATGCAATAGGCTTGATGACAGATTTTGAAAAACTGTTGTGTGATATTCGGAAGTATTTACTATTTCCAAAAAAATATCTTATTTCTGTAGAAAATAAAAGGTTCAGTAGAAATATATCGACATCTATGTCTGTCTACAGTAAACATAAGGTGCATAATATTTTGTGTTGCAAGATTCATTAATTAAATAAACATACAAAGTTACCATAACAGTATATGAATTTTATTTACCCTCAAATTGTATTTTGGTAGGTATAATAATGGATACACATTATCTTTCCATGAAGAGACTAAAACATTAAGACAATCTGATATATAGCTGTCATCAAATGTAACATTAATTATTTCTACTTTTTTATTTGTATTGAGTTGTAATCAGCTACACCGAATTAGCCTTTTTGAGGCCTTGTTAAATACATTTGTAGCTGCCATCTGCATATAAAACTTCTGAGTCGGTTTTCCTTTTTCCACATAACTTTTAAAAGTCTTCATATTCGTGGTACATTTAATTTCAATAATGCTGTATTCACAGATTCCGTCAGGCGATCCTGCTATCGTGGAATAGTTTTTGCAAAGTGTTATAAGTATACCACATTTTTTAATTTTTTTCCCCAAACTGGTACTTACAGTTTTCCTCACTTCATCCTGCATCATTCTATCGCGTTTCATGGCCGATACGTCTGAGATTGCATGTCATCTTCATCAGTCAATACGAGTATTTTCAAAAATGTGTCGCAGGACTGTTCTTTGTATTTCAGCACCAATTTATGCATGAATAAACTTTTGATCACAAACATACCTAGTCTTTTTGATATTTTATTAACTCGCAGTTGTTGAGCTTTATTTTCTTTCCTTCTTTTAGAAACTTTTCCTAACGTTTCCTGATTATGGTTTTGGTAACACAAAACTAAGCAACTGATAGTTGGGAAACACAAAATATTTAAAGGAAGATTACATTACACAAATTTACATTTACATAGATGTGACGTAATTCGCTCTGATTGGTGTTCAACCTATCATGGCGGTTTGCTGTATTTTGTAGTTTTATTTTATCAAAAATATTATCAGTCGCGATCATAATATAAAAATAAATATGTTTTTTATAATCCATTATTTCATTAGATAAATACGTAATTTTAGCGATTCTTGGTTACTGTCATCGTGCCTATTATGAAAGTAGACAAAAGAAAATTATTCACGAAAAATTAGTATGTATTTATTTTGCAGTACTTATCCATTTGTACTGAATGTATATAGCTTCGTTTTTACTGTTAAATAGTCCAACACTTCGTTTATCTTGATGAGAGACTGACGCGCAGTCTTTTTTCCGTGGTAATACTGAAAGACTCGACATTTGGCAATTCCTAAAACATAGATCTTAGACTATTTGCTATTATCTCTATATGATCTCCCAGTCATCTTCATTTCGTGTTTTTTTCATTTAGTTTCTGTGACAATGATTTCCAGTACTTTGATTAAGTCTACGGTGAACAATGAACATCCTGTAGTTTTTTTAGATAAAACAACCCTTATAAGAAACCTTCTAGAATACAGCCTTTTTGTGAAATATTTTCAAATTCGAAATATCCAGTAATCTTGAGAATTTAGAAATATCACAGTTTTTTCACAAGTGCCCTTTTTGTATGAGATATGGCAAAATGACAAAAGAAGGTTTCGAAAATGCTGAGCAAGTGTGGATGATATCAAAATCCTAGAAAGGTTTTGATCTGTTATCTGATTTAGGGTCAAATTCAGAGACTTACCTAAATCTATACTAACCTTACACTTATATCAAACTTATGCTCAACTTAGGGTGCCTCATCTAATTCTCAATTTTGGTATTCAGAAATGTGTATAAATGAGTAACTAACTTGAGTGTGCAAACCACAAATTACTAGATAAGGGAACAGTTGACTACTCAAATATTATCAAAAATATTTCATCAGTAGAAACCTAATGTCACACAGTATTTCTTTATTTTGAATCTGAATAACACGTTGAAAATATATACATAATAAATTATACTTAAATAATAAATAATGAAAATCAATTAATTATCCAGGTAAAAACTATATGCTTCATACAGAGTAGAATAAGTTGCAAGCAATCGTTTATTACAGAACTAATTTCTAAAAAATAATTGTTATTTATATAGCGTTCACATACATAATATCCTTTATTGAATACCTGGACTTAATTATTTGTAAAATATACTGCTAGAATATTATGAAACTATAAAATTAATAAATTAGGAACATATAAGCACCCGTCAGATACCACTAATATGTCACTAACCTACCACTTATTTGTGAGGGCGATTTGAGTATGATTTAAGTGAATTTGGGCCTTAGATTTTTCAAGTTAGTAAAGAGATACAAAAAAAAATTTCAGAATAAAAAACTGTAAATGTCTAAAATTTCAATGTTCTTATATGATTTCGACTTTTGCTTCTTGCAAGCAGAGTCAAATTTCGGTTCTAGCAAAAATAATTTAAAAAAATGTTTCTTCAAATCAACATTCAAATTGAGCAAAGTTTAGCAAAGACTCCTCTGCTAGCAAGAAAAATATGATATCAAGCAAAAAATTCAAAAATTAGAAGAAACTTTTCTTAATAATATTTTGTTATATCTGATACAGAAAGAGCATTTGATGCGTAAATAAAATTAGACATTTCTAAACCTTCAAGGTGTAATGAATTTTATGGATAAAATCATGGCACACTTTGTTTAACAAACGAGTACTGCTTGAAGAAAGCCATATTTAAAAACTAACTTTTTCCCTTCTGTAGGAGTCGTTTTCACTTATCCGTACCCTGTCTCGTAGATATTAAGAAAATATTAAAAATCATCTTGCATCTTGTGGTACCATTAGGTAGGTATTGACTTTGGAAACGTGTATTTTAATATTTTTCAATTATGTATGTTTTTTTCATCAATAATATTTGGAGAGACTGTCAGATATTGGGGATGTAATACAAGTCTGGACGGGTCTGTAGTCCGCTGGGTAGTTGTTTTTTTTTATAATATCATTAGTTACTAATAAATAGTTTATCTTTGAAGTTTCGATTTAGCCTACTTGATGTCAAAGAGCATAATGATTTCATAAGATTAAAATTATATTGACATTTTTAGACTTGAATTGAATTAGTTTAAGTAAACTGAACATTTTAACGTTCTACTGTTTTAGATATATAATTTTAATCGACATAAAATTAAATAATAAAAACTGAATATAATTAAGTTTATTGTCTTTGATACATGTGATTTCCATAAAATTGTATTTAATGACGATAAAACTAATTACAGATGTTTCTGTTTTAATGTAACGTTTGATTTCGAGTGGTGAAAATATGAAAATAGTGTTCTACCAAGGAATGTTGGGAAACTCTTCTTTTTCGAGATATAGTGTCTAAAAATTTGAAAACGTTATATTTTCTAAAATTTCTTTGAAGATGCCTGGCGTGGAGTCATGAAACTTAGAGCAATGATTTATCTAATTAATTGAATTCAGACATACATTAAGTAAAAATACAGTTGTGATAATGGGGAGACACTGTCACCACTGCTACCAAGGTCACCAGAAATTTGATGCCACTGGAAACGTCTTTAGAGATATTTTAGAGTATGTTACATGTTAATTCCTTAGTTTTCTCATTTTGACTACCCATATCCCGAAGTTAAGTCGGCTAATTATCCCCGAAGCACCTGAATACTCTTTTAAAATTATAATAGCTCCCAGTTTTGGAATTTACTTACGCGTCCCGGAACAAATTTCCTCTGACTCTGATGGTGAAGGGGTTGCGGGTGGCCATCTTCCGAATTAGTGTCGGGCAATCTCCTAAAAAGCAGTTTATATTCTTCGATGGGACTAAGAGACTCGACTGCCCAGCTGATGTTGTAACTGTCCTTCCAACTTCCCCTAGAGGCGCTATTAAATTTGGCCGGATTCGGCTTTCCTGAAAATAAAAATCAATCTCGTAATATAAGCAGCGCTGTTATGGAAATATGGTGATCCTGAGATATATTATTGTCATTTAAACTGCTTTATTCTGAAATTTATTCAAAGTAAAGCCGTTGTTAGAAATGGGATTCTTAAAAATTGTGAAGAGGGATAAACCTGAAAATGAATAGCTCCGCTTTATTCAAAAATTTTCCATCGGTAATTTATTTACTCTCGTGCGGTGTTGTACAGGATAGTTTAAAATGGGTAATATATTGAATAAGTTCGCTGAAGTAGGTACGCGAAATTATATTTTTCATAATTTGCGAGATAGCAATAAAAGTTAACTTTTTATTAGTAAATGGAGGAATTTCTAAGCCATGCTTGTATACTGAAGGATGATATAAAAGTTACTTGTGTTCTTCTAAATGACGTCTTTTTAACTGGAATATAAAGCGCTTATCTTTAGAATTTTACTTTATATTTATATCATTACAAACGGCGAAAAGTGGAACATGAGAAGAGAGAATTAGTCACCTTTGATGTAGATGGACAATAATACGTAAAACGGCAGGTGGAAAATGCTAATAATTTTTTTCCACAACTGCTTTATTTACTTAATTAGCATTTAAATCGTCATACGTTTCCTTTATTGTGGGAATAGTACATGCTATGAATTTTATATTTTCAAATGTTCGTGTAGTTGACTCAACGTTTTTAATTTTATTCTTAATAATATATAAAATGTACCGCAGAAATTGTTTATATGTACTCTAATATGAAATATAAATTGTCTGCCGTTGCATTCGCTTTTAAAAATTACATAGACCGACAAAATTTTACACCAGCAAACAGGTTACATTTTTGCGAATCCGCTAAATCCGAATCCGACCTCAGAATTGCTCAATTACGTCAGGTTTTCGTGATATCCTAACTAAAAGTGACGGTTTTTGAGGTTATGCTACATCACGAGGTAATTTTCCCTTGAAATTTTTTATGGTTTCTAACATTATTGCTTTTTCCCTTCAAAATCTATGTTGGTATGCAAAAGACAAAAATGAAAATGTAAAATTTATAATTTTGTTCACTAAAATATTAAACTAAATTTACATAAACTTTTTTATCATTCAACTTAATTTCCACAGAACTTATTTTGCAGATACCAAAAAATATTTGATTGAAATTAAATTGATTAAAAAAGCAGTTGCAACGCTTGTCGCAGAATATTCCTATATAACTTTCGATAATAAATTCAATGTCAAAACCGTGATTACAGGTAGGTATATAGTCACATCAATTAAAATAACAGCTAAATTACATTTAAAAACCATTGTAATCAGAGAAACAATTAAATATTTATATAACGCATGGTATTAATTTTACCTACTATTTAATAATAATAAATAATTTAACAGATTTTAGAAAATTATAATAATATCAGTGTCAAATACTTTACATATGTATTTAAAGTTCTGTTAAGTCAGGTAAAATAGTTTTTTTACGGTAAAATATTAGTTATTGTATAACCATCTTAGAGAATATCTATCTCTAGACAGTAATAGCTCTAATGTTGAAAGTAACGATTTGTGTATGTATTGTATTTCACAGAATATAGGTCGTATGATAGTTCTGAATAAATTTGAATACGTTTTATTTACAGACAGAAACACATCACCTATATTTAGCAGAATAAATCTAAATATACAGAAACTGTTACTTTGATAATCACTTGATACAAAATTAATGTTATCGTTAAACAGGAGGAGATTTAGCAATTAATTTAACTCGACTTCAACAAATACAGCACAGGATATATAGGGTGATTTCACTTTAAATACATAAACTGCAGGAATAGATTAGTTGCGAAGAAATAAGTAGAGTTTGTTGTATAAACCTTTTTCCTAGGGTATTTGAGATAGGGAGAAAGGTGTTTAAGTTTTCAAAAAAAAAAAATTATATTTTCTTCATATCTTCATATTATGCCAAACGATTTGAATGAATATTAGTACATACATACAAACGTAAGTCGAAATATGCTTCGTTCCCGAGATACAGAGTGTTTTAATTTTTTATTTATTTTTATTAATTATTTCAGAGTTTTAAAGATATTGACTCCAAATTTGATGGTTGTATTTTATTTAGAAATGTCGATAGCAACCTACTAGATAAGGTGTCAATAGAAATTAAAAATACGCAACTTGCCATAAAATATGTTTTATTTTTTTCCTCAAAAATGGTGCATCCTACGAAAAAAATGAAGTGACCAATTTCATTCAGAATTGATCGAGGATTTCATATTATCATCCAAAGCAGCTTAAAAAATTATAGATCCAGCCAAAAAATTTATTGAAAAATACCAAAGTTACAGCAAAAAACATTTTTAATTTTCAACTTCAAGAGCTAATAACTCTAGAGGGTGAGCCCGGAGGAAAAAATTTTATATGAACTTGTGACATTACTTTCTCATTATATCCATATCCGAGAGATTGCCCACCATTTCAGGGGCACCCTGTATATGTAATTATATTTAAAACCTCAAAAAAACTTCCTGAAACTTTGATCCATGTCAGTGTAAAGACGTTAGGAGCGATATAAAATTTTGCATGAATATTATTCTTATAGAAAAATTAAAAATGCGGAAAGTTATGACATTTTCTCATTTCCTCTGCTATTATAATATTTATCCGCCATCTGAAAGAAGGATATCGATTTTTGAACTTGAATAACGTGCGCTAGACGTAATTATTTCCTTAATTAATAAGGATGGGCTCCTTATCATTTGCAATCTAGCCTTGGCACGCTCCTGTCTGAAGCAATCTTGTTCGCAGCAAAAGGAGTAATTCACTGCAGCGTAATGGCCTTCTTGAACGAAGATTAATATTGTGCAATCTATTATGTACTGTTTGGGTGGATATAGCAAGATCACGGGGCGTGTTCCTAGTGCGGGCAGTTTATTAGTATCATCGGCGAGTTTAACGACTCTAGCGACAAAATTATTTACCGCATTAAGTGGAACGCTGATGTATAAGCTCGTAAATGCATAAATCTATATACACTACCGGAAAAAACTAAAAGAACAAAAAATACAGTACATGCAGTAGTGTTAAGGCGGGTATCCACTTGTGGCAATGCTCCGTAACGTAACAACGAACATGTTACGACCTGTTGCAAAAGGTTGCACGGTTCGCTACGAAAGTATGTGTGGTTTTGGTCGTATCATTCATTCCGTAACGTAACAAAATAAGCTTACGAGACGACACAGGAACATAAACTTGCAGTATGAACCTGACTGCAATAATGGATTCGTCACTGCAATTGCAGTTAGCAGCAGCGTCATATTATTTTTATTCATCATACAATTTTGAAGAATAAGAAACGGATATCTCCAGAAATCTTTTCTTTACTCCACTCCATGGCACAAACTCAGAAAAACACTCTTCCTAGTCACTGCAGAAAACAGACTGACCCCAGACCATATACAAAAGACTGACGAAACAAAAAATAAGACAAAATCACATGTGCAACAGGTAACGTTACGGCCAAAAGGGTAACCCCGTCTCAACATGTGGCAGAAAGTACTGTTGCATCCCTTTGATGCGACGACTAAAAACCGACAGCTGATGGTTCGTCCCGGATTAGTTACGCGTGTCAAATTTGTTACACGTACCATGCAACAATTTTCCGTCTCCACTAGCTGTAACGTAACATGTTTACGTTACGGGGCAGTTGACACAAATGGATACCCGCCTTAAGACGGGACATCTGTCATTGCTTCATGTTATGACTGCTATCGTAGAATGATTTTACTGAATTTCAGAGAATTAGAGACAAATTTACTGTTAGGCCTCAAAGTGTTTTATCGTATAGAAAATATATACACGCATAATGAAACAATAAACCGCCACAGTTCAGTTTAGGAATGTGTGGATTTTTTCATTAACTGTGGAAATGCTTTGACATCTGTGAATGTTTAATTTTGAACCTGTTTGTTACAAAAACAAAGAGCGAGAGGAAAAATTATGGTCATATGTAGTTTGTATATCACTGTCTGATATTGCTTGAAATTGTTACTTATTTCATATTAGTTTTTTCTCTGATTATTTGAGTGTGAATCATTTTAAAAATTAATTACAGCAACATTTTATCAAAAGTCAGTACCTTTTTTTTTAATTATGTTTATCCACATTTATTTAAGTGTGTGATTTTATGTCAGTCTGTATACCTTACCCAGTGGAAGTTCTTAAATGAGGAACGGTCTGAATCCGGAGAGAAATGTAAATTGTACGAATCATGGGACGCAAACCGTATTATATTACTTTATTTGCATCTCGGTGTGGCCTTATGTATTACGTTTAAAGTTTTAGAATATATATATGGCATGCGTATTTCTTGGCTCCGGAGATATTTGAAAAATAATATATATGACACATTTATTATGTCAACCGAAAATTTATGAAACGGGGAGAAAATGACAATTGTTTGCCGCGTTTTATAATTTTATTTATACCTAATGCGAATAAAATATGTTCCATTCGAATGTTCAAGAAAATATGAAACACGAAGCAGGTTGTTGATATTATCTGAATTATTTATGGTATTATTTAGCATGTTAGTTATGAATTCTTAACAGTGTTTTTTATTGTTGTTTCTGAACTTTTTGTATTTTAAAGTTTTGTTCATATTTTCTTCGTAGTTTGTTTGTTGGTTGTCCACAGAATCTCGTAGCTTTACTATCAATTCTGACTCAATGCATTTTTCGAGCACAAAGATTCTTATCCTCAGTTGCAGCAAAGTACATTGAATTTATCTGCCTAATATTACACAAATTCAACCTTTCTATCAGTCCCTCTTTTGACACTATTTTAGTTTTGGGTCTCAGTATTCATTATCTTCTTTTTGCCTTTATGCCTTGGCATCCAATGCTTGATAGTGTCGGTTTTTATCGATTGTAAAGACGAGTATAGCCACAAAAATGTATGTGTGGAATACTGTCCTAGCCACCTGGATCTCATTACA